ATTTGTGACCTTGCAGCAGTTGAGATGAGTACGAGAGCAATGTTGAGTAGCAACCAGGCAAGGTCTCAGGCAGTCAGTTCCAGATTGGAGTTTGATTTCAGGTTCCGATGACTGCCCTCTTCTCCTTGTCCTGAGGTGTGGACAAGGAAAAGACAAAGACAGGGAGAAAGCATGATTATGGGATACTCTTGCTTTCGACCCTGATGATATGAGATACTCTTGTTCTTGGTGTGGGCTTATTTGCTGAGGTATTATCGGGGGGAAATAAAGCTGAGTATTTCGAGAGGTTATGTTGAGGGTGCCTTCTCGAATGTGAGAAAGGGTTGAGCATTTTTGCAGGTTTGCCTGTCCGTTGAGGAGGGAGGTCGATGTATATAGGGATTTCCCATAACAAGTAGTAGTGCTAATTCCTTTACCCTTGTGGGGTAATAGCAATGTAGTGGGAGCTGCCAGCTTCACGTGTTTTTAACTTTGTCAGAGCACTTTGAAAAAGTGGTATGTGGTATCTGGAAAGCTGATGTTACGTGTGAAAGATTACAGACAAGCTTTATCTAAGGAAATCTAGCTCTCGAAGTTCTGAGAGTTGTGCCTCTTCGGTTTTCGAACAAGCAATCCCGTCGAGGATCTGACTTTCGAGATTCGGAAAGCGGTGCTACTTCAGTTTTTGAGAAAGTAATTATGTTGGGAGTCTTTTCTCGAATGTGAGTAAAGGTTGGACGTTCTTGCCAACCTGTCTTGCTGCAAAAACACGGAGGTCGACACACATATGGACTTTCCAGTTGTCAAGCAGTGGGTGCTGTTCCTTTTACCCTTGTGGTAATAGTAGGGTAACTGGAACTTCGAAATTCTCGTGCCTAAACTTTGTCAGAGATCTTTGACAAAGTTATATGTGGTACCCGAGGAGTTGATGGTGCATGTGGAGAGCGGTGATTGAACAGTAAGATTCACGTGCTTTCTACTTCACCAGAAATCTTCGACAGATTGCCCCGTAATTTTCGCAAGCTGAGTGTGCATGTGACAGTGCTGACGAGGCTGAAAAAGCAGGTGCTTCTTCGATTTCTGAGATCGGCCCTCGTGGTCTCTGAGCAGCCCAGCTTTTGAGAAAGCAAATGCCTCTTCGATTTCTGAAGCTCCGTCGAGTGCAGATTTTTATAGAGGCTGGCATTAAGTTCCACAGCACACTTGAATCTCTACCAGTAGAAGCTCCATTCTTACACTTCTAAGATCTTGATTTTGTCTGACCTCTTCCCTCTTCAACACATTTGAAAATGTCTGGACCCTCCGACCGTCGTTTTTGACTTGAACCTTGGAGAAGAGACAGCCACGCCTTCTCCAGACAACATATGGCGCCCATCCTTCATATCCCTACTGGTCCTCTTACCGTTTGGGATTCTGTGATGAAGAATGATATGACCGCTGCAGTGGTGGCCAGGAACCTTCTCACTCCCAAGATAACAGACTACTTTCCAAACGGTCTGATGAGTTGGCTGTTAAGGACTCTCTGGCTCTTAGTGTTCAGTGTGCAGGTTCTGTGTCTAATATGGCCCAACGCCTATTTGCTAGAACCCGCCAAGTTGAATCATTGGCTGCTGAAGTGATGAGTCTCAAAACAGGAGATTAGAGGGCTCAAGCATGAGAATAAACAGTTGCACCGGCTCGCCCATGACTATGCTACAAAACATGAAGAGGAAGCTTGACCAGATGAAGGAATCTGATGGTAAGGTTTTACTTGATCAACAGCGGTTTGTGGGTTTGTTCCAAAGGCATTTATTGCCTTCGTCTTCTGGGGCTGTACCTGGTAATGAAGCTTCAAATGATGAACCTCCAATGCCTCCTCCTTCTGGGGTTTTGTCAAGTACTGAGGCTCCGGATAACCACCCTCCGGTGCTTTCTCTTTCTGGGGCTCTACCGACTGCTGAGACTTCCCTTAAGCAACCTTTGTGAAGGCTCCCTTTTGTTTGTTTATTTTGACTCATGTATATGTACATATTTGTGGCTTTATCGAAAATATTAATAAATAAGCTTTGCTCCATTTCAACATATTGTGTTAAATACACCAAAGCCTTCTTCAGAAAGTTCTCTGAATTTTTTCTTTTGTCGAAACTTGTATTGTTGAAGCTTTGTGAGTGAAGCATGTAGTTTGAGGTAGTATTCCCTTAATTTCCTGAGTGAGGAAAACTTCTCGGTTGGAGACTTGAAAAATCCAAGTCACTGAGTGGTTATGAGACTTCCGAGTATCAAGGTGCAGTAGCATATGGTGGGAGTCCCCAAGTCTTCAGGCGATGAGAGTTGCCGAATGAGGTGTCTTGCTTGCTACTAATATGTCAAAGTAACGAAGCCTTGTTTTGATGTCACACCTTCATATATGCCTTATCCAAAATATTTCAAGCTAGGTTTAGCTTTGGGAGGGCCCAAAATTTTTGTGTAGCCCAAAACTGCTCATTTGTTTGCAAGCCCACAAAAAGAAGGGATCCAGTGCCTTTGTTCATTTGTTATTTGTGTGGCAAGCCCAAAGAGGAGAACAGGTTTGTGCCCACTCCCCTTTATTTAGTTTTTGTGAAGCCCAATGTATTCTTGCTGCATATTGGGAGGTAGATAAATAATAACAATGAGACTCAAAGTCTCATCCCTTTGCCTGTGTCTTCTTCCCCATTTCCCCGGACTTTGTTCAATATGGCATTGTGCACTTATTCCTTTTGTCCGTCACTTTTGGTGGCTTTTAGCTATTCTTTTGACTTTCCTTTTCCTTTCTTTGCTGGAAAGGTCTTCATGTCCTCGTAAAAATCTGAATGAGTCCAAAGGCATGATGAAGGAAAGTGGGTGTTGGAGCCAAGGAAGGGAAGGAAGGAGTTAACGTAGAGGGTGCGGTAGCTCTGCAATATAACACTATGTTCTGTAGCTTAACTCGCAAGGTTGTCTTCATGAAAATTGTTCCTTAGCTTGTGAACTACAACATATCCAAATTTGAGAGCCATCGGAGTAGTACAACTCCAGATATTCAGGTATGTTGAGTAAGTGTTCATCATTTTGCTGTTAACCCACAGACTTATTGTGAGCTTCGAAACTTCATTTTTTCTTGTTCAGATCAACATACTTTCTTCATCAAAATTGTTCCTTAGCTGGTGAACTACAACATATCCAATGTTGAGATTCATCGGAGTAATACAACTCCAGATATTCAGGTATGATGAGTAACTGTGCATCATTTTTCTGTTAATCCGTCAGACTTATTGTGAGCTTCGAAACTTCATTTTTTCGTGTTCCGATCAACATACTTTCTTCAACAAAGTTGTTCCTCATCATCTCTTCCATAACATATCAAAAATTCAGAACACACTAACGGTTGGATATGTCCAGATCTTCGAAACACCGCAGCAGCGTTGAAGCTTGCAGAAATCTGACCGTCGTTTTGTTGGAGCTTCATCACTCTAACTTCCGTCGCTCAAATGGAAACATTTCCTTCGTGAAAGTTGTTCATCTGCTCAAGAACTATAAGATGTCCAAATTCAGCTCTACTGAAGAAGAGCAGGAGTTGCAGAAATTTGATAGATGGAAAGAGGCGGAAGAGGGAGAGGGAGAAAAAAGGTTGCTTGGGTTAGATTGTATATAATTGTATGTCTGTTTATGATAGGGATATTGTGGATGTAAAAACAAAAAAGTTTGTGTGCACTCATGTGTTGTTGTACAAGTTCAAGAGAATCTTGGTTGTGTGAACAAAATTTGTTTATTTGCCACAAGGTTTTGTGTTTGGAAAATAGTTTAATAGGTAAGGGTTTATTGACTATAGATTTGTGCTTGGGTAGATAGCTTGACTAGTGAAGCTTTGGTGTTGAAGCTTTATAGGTGAAGCTTTTGTGTTGAAGCTTTATAGGTGAAGCTTTGGTTGGCGAAGCTTTATAGGTGAAGCTTTGGTGGTGAAGCTTTATAGGTGAAGCTTTGGTGTTGAAGCTTTATAAGTGAAGCTTTGGGGTTGAAGCTTTATAAGTGAAGCTTTGGTGGTTGATGCTTTATAGGTGAAGCTTTGGTGGTGAAGCTTTATAGGTGAAGCTTTTGGTGTTGACACCATAAATTGATTGTGCTTCGCATTATCTTGATGAACATAGTGCGAAGCTTTTTGAGATTGATATTTATCCTCCATTGATGAAGCTTTTGTTGGCACCATAAATTGATTATGCTTTGCACTATCTTGATGAACATAGTGCGAAGCTTTTGAGATTGATATTTGTCCTCCATTGATGAAGCTTTTGTTGGCACCATAAATTGATTGTGCTTCGCACTATCTTGATGAACATAGTGTGAAGCTTTTGAGATTGGGAGTTGAATCCCATTGATGAAGCTGCTGTGTTCCCCCTTCCCTTTTTTTTTTTTCGGATTTTTTTTTTTTTTTTTTTTTTTTGAGGGGGGAACTGAAACATTTGAAATTTGAAACTCCTTAATGTTAGAAGTTTGAAGATTCTCCATGTGGGGTTTTCTCATGGTTTGAATTTGAATTTTGAATGTTAATAGCCATGTTGAACTATATATAAGAAGGATAAGTTTCCATTCTTTACCTTACCTTCATTTGCTCATCTTGTAGTGATTGTTGAAGACAAAGTGCTTTTTTACTTGAGAGGGATTCTAGCATTGCTTTGCTGCACCATCTTCAGGTTGGTAGTCTTCTCCACTACATTGGATGTTTTCCTTTTTGTTGAATTGTTGGAATGTTCATGTATTTTTGTGACGAACATAATGAAACTGGTTGAGCTGTTCTTCATGCCCCTGTGAGCTTCCTTATGTTTTGATCCTTCATGTAGTAATAGAGTTTGTTTCTGTTTGTTGTAGATGTCGGAGTCTGGAAGTCTTAGTGATGAGGGCTCCCCTAGCTCGGGCTCTAGGTTTGAGCCTGCAATGTCGGGGTCTTCATGGCCTTTGTTAGAGTCTTGTACAAAAGAAACGTTGGATGATCCTCACAATTGTCAAACCTTAGCCAATATTGGTTATTCCTCCATGTTAGTGGGTGTGGGGGTTGTTTGTGACGCCATACCCATATGTCGTTCTGATCCTCACAATTGTCAAACCTTAGCTGAGATTGGTTCTTCCTCCATACGAGTGGGTGAGGGGGTTGTTTGTGATGCCATACCCATATTTCGCTCTGAGTTCACAGCGGACCATTTAGAAAATAACTTGTTAGATAGCGAAAAACAGCTTGAGGCCCTAAGGCAATCATGTAGTATCCCCCGTAGTGTAGGAATACATTTGGTGCGTTGTGAAGAATTGCCTTCGGAGCCGCCCAAGGGTCATGTTATGTTCTATACCCAGACATTAGTGACCTTGGGGGTAAATTTACCTTTGCATCCGTGGTTGCAACGAATGCTGGCTTGTATTGGTTATGCACCTGGGCAACTCAACCCTGGTTTCTGGGATACCTTGATTGGGTTTTATATTATTTGGATGGAGTGTGGATTAGGTGAGCCTTCCTTCCATCAGTGGCGCTACTGTTATAAGATGCGCCCGGTGAAAGCATGTACTGGTTATGCTGAATGTGCATATCGGAGCGAGAGAGAGCGTGTTGTCTTTAATAAGAGAAAGTCGTACTGCACATGGAAGAAACGTTGGTGCTTTATTTATAATGATTGGGAGCATGCTAAGGGTGTCACGCCTGAGCGACGTGTTCCTACTCACTTCCAGACTGTAGGTTGTAATGTATCCATTTTCTCATTATTTGCTATTGTTGTGATTTTCTCTTACTTCTAAGATTTTTCTTCATGCAGTGACACGAGGCACCATCAAACTCTCTGGATAGGAGCTAGCTGATGTAGAGAAAGTGCTGAGGGTGCCTAAAGAAGATAGATACTTGGGTAAGCTACGTCCCTTGTTTCGAAAGTACGGTTTCCAGCCCTTAGTTTCCGAGTGCTAGAGACGAGCGAGTAAGTTGTATCCTCACTTGATCCTTGTTCTTCCCCTTTTTTTTTTTATAGATATATAATGTGGTATTCCTTACTTTGATTTTCCTTGTTCAGTGGAGAAGGTGGGCAAGAAAGTGGAGACTAGCACCAAGAAAAGGAGAGTGCCCATGTTAGTTCCTTCAGAAGACATCCTGTTTCACAAGGAAGCGCGCAAGGACCGAGTGAGACCAATTATTAAAACTAAGTCTCGAGAAGAAGTCCTCAAGGTTGCTGCCTCGAAGAAAGCTGAAGCTGAGGCCATCGGATGTGCTGCTGCCATAGTTGCCGGGGAAGATAGGCGATTGCTGCCTCCTCTTCCTACTATTAATCCCATCTTTCCTCCAGTTAGGGAACACATTGAGCAGGAAGGTGATCCTAGTTCTAGCAGCAAGGGTAAAGATAAGGAAGAGGTTGGCAGTGTCCATTGGAAGGATTTGAAGGTTGCCATGCGGCCAAAGGACTTTGGGTATATCAACAATTGCCTGGCAGGGCGTCGATTCACTTTCGATGAGCTCGGAGAACCCTTAGCTAAAGATGAATCGGATTGCGACCGGATGTTGAAGCTATCTTCATATGTGAGTGTTACTTTGTCATTCCCTTGTTTTCTCCTCTTTATTAGCATTATTTTAGTAGTGATGATCGTCTTGTCATGCAGGTCATGGCTGAGTATCACGACAGACTGCGAGAGGCTGAACGGTGCAAGGTGAAATTGAAAGAGAATAAGCAGCTTGTGAATGATGCCAGGAAGACGAGCAAAGCTTTAGCTAAGGCCATCCAAGTCAAGGATCAACATTTTGAGAGTTTGAAGAGGCGGAATGGTGAGAACTTGAGACTCAAGGTACAGTTGGAAGCGACTAAGAAACAGTTGGAGACAACTATGCTCGAGGTTTTCAAGGTTAAAGGGGAGTTGGATAGTGCCTTGGTTGAGGTTTCTGAGCTGAAGAGTGGTATCCCGGCTGAGAAGGAAGCTGCTGTTGAATGAGTTCTTGGGTTTCCCAGGCCTTTCTCCCATGTCCTTAGACCTCGCTGTGCCCGGGAAGTGCACTTTGAAAAAAGGAAAGTGGATGGCTGTCCTTGATCGTTATGATGATGGAAGTGTTCTTCGAAAATACCGTGAAGAAATAGATGAGCATCATCGAAAAGGTGAAACCTTCGACCTTGCAGTTTATTCGAGCAGTGCAGATGAGTCGGGCGATGATGCTAGTGCTGATGAGCAGAGTCATCAGGGTGATGATGAGGTTGGAGATGCAGAAAATGGCGGTAGGTCTCAGAGTGATATGATCAGGGGTTCACTTCAGAGGAGGAGGACTAGAAGTGCTTTCACTTTCTGCATGTACTCTGCCTGCACTAGTTTATTGTTTGTATGGCATGTGCCATGTTATAAACTCGAGGGTTTTTTTTTTGTTTTGCTTTGTATGTTTATGAGTATTTGCATTATCAAGCAAGTGTTTGTATTATCAAGCTTCAAGTGTTTGCCCTATCATTGATGAATGTTTGACTATGTTTGCATAGATCATTTGTATAGTCTTGTTGACATATACTTAGATTTTATTCTGTATTGGAAACATGTGCGTTGAAGCTTCAATACTTGAGTGTTTCATTGCCCAGAATGTAAAAGAGTTTAGGGTCGAGTTGGCTAAATCACCTCTTTATTGAATTCATACCAAATGGTCTTTGTTACATAGGATGCCGAACGGCTGTAGCTTAACACTTGTACAATGTGAGTCTATTTGTAATAGTACTTCAAGTGGTCAGCATTCCATGGATGGCCAAGGGTCTTGCCGTCGGAGCTTCTGAGCTTGTAGGAGCCAGGGCGGCTGATGCCGACGACCTCGAACGGTCCGTCCCAGTTAGGACTGAGTGTTCCTTCACTCGGGACTCTATCACAGAGTAATCTTTTCTTCAGTACCCAGTCTCCCACTTTAAAAGAGCGAGGTTTGACCTTTGAGTCGTAGTAGTTGGAGATGCGCTGCTTATAGGCGACATTCCTCAGGTGAGCCTGATTTCTGTGTTCCTCGACTAGATCCAGGTTGAGGGTGAGTTGCTTGTCGTTCTCACTCTGTATGTAGTTCTGGATTCGGTATGTTGCTTGCTCAAGCTCAACCGGGACAACTGCTTCTGTACCAAAAGCAAGTGAGAATGGAGTTTCTCCTGTGGAAGTCCGATATGAAGTGCGATATGACCAAAGAACTTGGGGTACGAATTCTGGCCAACAACCTTTAGCTTTGTCCAAGCTAGTTTTCAGAGTGCGCTTGATTATTTTGTTAACAGCCTCGACTTGTCCGTTAGACTGGGGATGGGCTGGAGAGGCAAAACATAAGTTGATGTTGAACTTAGAGCAGAATATCTTGAACTTCTTGTTGTCGAACTGCCGCCCATTGTCCGTGACTATCGCATTGGGAATGCCGAATCTGCAGAGGATGTGCTTCCATACGAAGTCTTCTATTTTTCCCTCAGTAATGGTTGCCAAGGGTTCTACTTCAGCCCACTTTGTGAAGTAGTCAACTGCAACGATTGCATAGCGGACCTTGCCTTTCCCTGCAGACATTGGGCCGATCAAATCAAGTCCCCATTGGGCAAAGGGCCAAGGGCTGATCATAGGAGTGAGCGGCTCGGGAGGGGAGTGAGGGATAGTTGCGTAGCGTTGACACTTATCACATGAGCGTG